TCGGCCTCTTCGTCGGGGGCCCCGAGACCTTCGTCCAGAAGAGGGCCAGCGCGAGCGCGGTCGTCGTCGACGCCGCCGCGCACTGGCTCCCGCTCCGGGGCGAGGAGCAGGCGTGCATCCACGAAAGCGGTGTCTACGCCGCAGGCGCCATGACACGCGCCAAACACCTCCTCAAAAAGCACCGCCAGACGCAACCCCAGCATAGAAAGGCAGTCTTGGAGGCAGAGAAGGCCAAGCACTTGACAGAGCACCCCAACCACAAGGCGCAAGTGGAGCAGGCCTACTCGGGCGAATGGGACAGGCGCAGGATCACCCTCATCGACATCTCCGCAGTCGAGAACTGGTTCGACCCGAGCACGGGGCCCACTTCCACCAAGAAGCGCAGCGTGCACCTTGCCCCTTGCGCAAGGCGACATGAGCCTCGAGGAGGGCACCTGGCGAGGCGACGTCGCCTACGAGCGGGGCGATGGCGAGACGGAGCGCTTCCGAGCAGGCGAGCCCCTGGGAGCATTGCCCAAGGGCTGGCGCAACGCTCTGTTCGAGTTCTCCGAGGATGAACGCGCGAGGGTCTTCGAGGCCATCGACGCATGGGGGCAGCCGAGTGCCTGGGCGGACGAGCTGGTCTCTAACTGGGCCATCGACACCACCTAGCAGAAGCGGGGCCAGATAGCGTTCGCAGACTGCCTCTTGAGCCAGTGGTCCGAGGAAGTGGCGCTCCGAGCAAGGCTCCAGGATGTGATCCACGCGCCCGTGGCCCCCGACGTCGCGAGCTTCTTGCAGGAGCCAGACACCCCCAAGCACAGCAAGCTCATGGCCGCGATCCGAGAGGTCAAGGCCGAGACGCACTGGGCCATGGAGCTGGACTGGACCCAGGAGGCCAAGGCCGAGCCCCAAAAGCAATACAAGTCCCCGGCCCAATGAGGGCCCTACGAGCGCCTCTACTGCGTCTCCGAAGCCTACACCCGCTTCCGAGAGAAGAACAAGGACAAGGTGCCGTTCCGAGGGCTGCAAGCGAACCAAATGCTCGCGGTCTGGCCTACAAAGCAGGGCGAGCTCCAGGTCGTCGCGGGCATTGGGGCTGTGGAGCTACCCCATCGAGCCCGGCCGCGGCATCGAAAACAGCCTGGCGAAGGAGCGCCTGGAGGGCGTGCAGAGCTGGCCCGAGGGCGTGCCGCCCGTGCCCGAGTGGGGCGTCCTCGACGGGAGCTGCTTCCAAAACGGCGACTTGCCCAGGGACTACGAGCAGGACGAGAACCCCTGCCCCCTGCCTCCTGGAGCCCCGAGAACTGGACCTCGAGCTCACCGACGAAAAGTTCCCGCGCGCCCTCTAAGACCGCATCAAATCTCACGACCAAGCGTTCGCAATAACAGGTGGGCGCCCAAGTTCGCGGGCCAGTTTCCCGGGCAAGCGCGCGCGCGCGAGCGGCAGCGCGAAGAGGCCAAGACCGGCGGCCACGCCTCGCTCGAGATCACTTGCGCCGGGGCGTCGCCAAGGCGCAAGTTCACGGGCAGGCCGCCGAAGGCGCGCGCGAACTTCTCCCAGAAGTTCGAGCAGAAGAAGAAAGCGGAGGGCAGCGCCTAGCCGAAGGACGAGGCAAGGAGGAATGCAGGCCTCGAGGCTTGCGAGGGCCCCCCCTGGCACGGCAAGGTGGCCCGCGTCACCGAGGAGAGCGTCCGCGAGGGCAGGCGCGGCAGAGTGCAGGACGTCTGGCGAGTCCCGGGCACCGAGGACGCGCGCCGCCTGCGCGCCCTCGAGGCGGAGACCGCGGCGATCTTCCAGATCGAGAGCAGCGACGCTGGGGGGCTCGCAGGCACTCGTTAGTTTCCGCCTCCTTCGGACTGAGGCGGCGGTAGCAAGCGGAAGCTAGCGGAAACGGCGGAAGCGACGGCGGAAGTGGCGGAAGTTGGCGGGAAGCTGGCAAAAGCAGGCGGAAGCGACACGAAGCGGAGGCAGGCGGAAGCTAACAAGTGCCTGTGGATCTTTTTCTTGCGTCCGGCGGCGAGCGGGGCGACAGCGCCCCCCCGCGCGCGCCCGCGAAAGCGCGGCGCAACCAATCAGAAGGAGGAGGACGGGGAGGAAGGCGGCCGGCGCACCCAGCCGCCGCCGGCATAGCCACGCTGCGCCCGCCCCGCAGCGCCGCCAGCCCCTGCCGCGGCCCCCCGGGAGAGGCCGGCGAGGACGCGCTCCCGGAGAGCGGCCAGGCGCTCGCCCGCGGGCGGCGCGGAAGACGGCCGCGCCGCGGCCGCCCCCGCGGCGCAGATGGCCAGCGTGGCCGCGCCGGCAGCTAGGAGCGCGTGAGCGTGCCCGAGACCGTTCTGGTGGTCGAGCCCACGGCGGCCGTCGCCCGGGCTCGAGAAGGGCCAGGGCGAGGGCGAATCCGCCGCCCAGCGGCCCGAGATGCAGAAGAGCTGGGCCGGGAGGGTCGAGAAGGCCCAGCACGTCCTAGTCTGCGTGCACTCCGTGGCGCCTGCACACTACACGTACCTCAAGGTCGGCGGTTGCTACAAGTGCTTCCAGTTGTTCGTTCCGTTTTGGAGCGGATCCTGGGAGCACCCTGGGCAGGGTGCACTTGTAGCAACGCCCGCCAAGGTCGCGAGGATCGGCGGGGGCGTCGCGGTGGAGTACCGCGACGCCCTCAAGCAACCGCCCGAGAACGCCAAGCAGCCCCAAAAGGGCCACATGCGAACACACACCTACACCCCACGATCTCTGAGTGGGAGGTAGGTGCCACTTTGCTCGGGAGCTGCCGGACGAAGTGAACCCCGCCCTCCTCCTCCTCAGAAATGGCGGGTCGGGTTCGCATGTGGCCTTGCGAGGCCGCCACGAGAATCCTCTGCAAGCTCGGCGCAATTGGCCTTGGCGAGAGTTGCCGTGCACCGAACAACGTGATGTTCCAATCCGGCTGTTGGTCCTGCGGCCTGTGGACGAGTCGCTGGATCGAGTGCGCCCTGCGCGAGATCCGAAGCGAGGGCCGCCAAACGCCCGTGAGCATCAACACGGTGTGCGCCCGAGGCAACGAGTGGATCAACAAGCTCGAGGAGGCCAGCGACAACAACTGGGCCAAGGCCAAGGCCAAGCACAAGTCCAAACCCTGCAAAGACCCCACGGCGGCCGAGCCGAAGTACGCCACCTTCGAGGAAGCAAATTGCTGCCGCCCAAGCGTGCACAAAGTGTCTCCCATGCAAGGACGGTTCCAAAGGATGCCAGGATTGCATGGGGGAATGGTTCGAAGTCCTGCGCAAGAGAGAGGTTTCTTGACCAGAACGGCCAAGGACCTCTCTTGCGCTGGCAAGTTGTAGCCACGAGCCTCGAGGTCTCTCGAGTCAGTCTTGTGCCGAGCGCCTGCCCGCAATTTGCATAGACACGAGCATCCAGATCGCTCGAGTCAGTCGTGTGCCGAGCGCCCAGGATCACCATAATCATGACCATCGTCAACAGCATCATAACTTACCTTCCCCGGGAAAATCCTTTATTATCCCCGCAACCCCCCCGGACTTTATTAGCACCCGGTGATTAGTATCGCCCGCGCAGGGCTAAGGAAAGACAGGGAGAGGAGAAGAGTAGGACAGCACAGCAAATACCGACAAGGGAACAGTTCCGAAGCACCGAGGAGAAAAAAGTAGCATCGCCCTACGATCGACCTCAGCGCCGAGGGAGGGGGGGAGGGGAAAGAAGAGGAGGGTGAAGATAAGAATGACGACAACAATAGGTAACACATGTACAAACGCATAGGGGGGATTCTCAGCGGCGGCGACCTGACCTGCACCGCCAGCGGCGTCCCTGCGAGAGACTGCTATGATAGGGCCAGTCAGCCCTGGGACCTGACCAGCCTGTAACGTTTCCCTGGCCCTCTTTGAGCAAGGAGGTGTCCCTTCAGCAGGGGCTCCGAGATCTGGCGCTAAAATCGAAAGAAAGAGAACGAGGAGGAGCAGGTAAAGTCACCAAACACACATGAATACCTCGATCCTCGAAGTTTTGAAGATCGCACCTCCTCCTAGTATTCCGCCCGCCTCCTCCCTGCGCCCTCCACCATCCCTCCTTGTTCGTCCATCCTCTATCCGCTGTTCTGTCTCTCCTCCCTCCTCCATCCATATCTCTCCTCCTATCCCCCTCTTCTCATGCTCCTCATTCGGGGCCGTGGAGATGAAGAGGATGAGGAGCGGGAGGAGGAGGGAGGGACGGGGAGAGAAGAGGAGAAGCTCCTCTCTTCCATCCTGGTCCCTCCTTTCCCACCCCTTCGTATCTTCCCTTCTCGCTCCTCTGGGGCGTCATTGAGCCTTAGCGGCGTGGGGGGAGTGATCATAGACTAGACGATGCGAGGAGAGATAGGGACGACGAAGCTCGTGATAAGCTCCAGGGGCACCGAAACCCTGTGGGTTCGGGATGAGGCGGCCACCACAGAAATACAGGAGACTGTGCAAGTAAAGGGAAGACAGGACCCAGTGGCTGGCCGACAACATGACACGCTCTGCCATCTTGGGCACGGCCAGAAAATGTCTGCAACTGGCTGACACCATGGGGGGAGGGAGTGGTGTGAAACGACCCCTTGTTCGTGCCAGCGGCCGTGAAGGAACTAGTTCGCAGGGGGGTTATGTGCCAGGAGGGGAGGGAGCGCCGTGCTGCCTGCCGAGGCAGACATGGAACGGACCGTCGCGTTGCCAGACAAAGAGACCATCACATGCGACCTCACTGGGGGAAGACAGGGGGAGGAGGAGGGACAGGGAAGGGAGGAGAGGAGCGGGAGGGAGGAAGGAGGAGGGGGGGAGGGAGGAGGAGGGAGGAGGGGAGAGGAGGGAGAAGCGGGAGAAGGCGAGAGGAGGCGGAAAGGGAGGGAAGACAGCGAAGGAGGAGGGAGGAGGAGGAGAGAAGGCCATCGGCGCACCTGAAACCATGTATTGCTCTCCCCTGGGCTATTCGCCCCCATCGTCGCCTGCGAGCACAGGAGGATAACAAACTCCTCCCTCCCTCCCTCCTCCCCCCCAGCATGGGCGGCGGCCGCCCGCTGGAGCATGGCAATGATGTCCCACTCCACGGGCAGCGCGAGCACCGACCTCCAGGAGTGGCCAGGAGCATCCTTCCACCGCTTTCTATCCCACCGGCGTGGCCTGCGCCCCTCTGGTCGATCTGCCCCCCACGACCAAGTGGGATAGAGACTGTTCCCTTCGAGTTTATACCCCCAGCTGGGATGGTGGGATGGTGGGGATCGGGACGGGAATGAGGATAGCTTCAACGATACTGAGCGTAGCACAAGGCGACGAGCACTCTCTGACTAAGACTTTTGGTTGAGGCGCTGTGCGAGGATGAGAAGGTACCGATACCGCTGCCCTTGCATTGGTTTCGCCTGTTTGGGCCTTCTGGAGGTTCTGGCAGGCCCTCGTCGCCCTGGATTATCATCGAAATCCTGGTCAGAATGGACACCAGAAGAGGTCTGGGGAGTAACGGAATGGTTACCAGTTGGTTTCCCGCGCTGGGTGAAGTCCAGTAGCGCTGTCCACGTATCGGACTCCAGGCTGGGCTCTGGAATGAGCTGCGAAGCTGTGAGAATAGGACTCGGCCGAGCTAAGTCCCCCACGTAAGCTATACCAACAGCAAGGCTGGCAAATATGTGTATATATATATATACATATCTGATATATGCATATGTATATATATATATATATATATACATAGCCCCCCCCGCACGCACCAATAACCCCCCTTTCTCCAGATTATGTATGAATACATATATAATTCCTACGATTTTCGAACTTCATTTTGAGGCTCATGGCTGGAAGACTGTCTCAACTCATTTTTGAATTGACAAGAACCTTCTACTCAACTCTCTCCGTTTCCAACACACCATCCAATACTCAGTCTCCAACACACCTCCCGATACTCAAAAGGCTCCCTCCCCAAACTGAACTTGAAAATACCCTTATACTCAACTCCCTCCGTCTCCTACACACCATCCGGTACTCAACAGGCTCCCTCCCAAAACTGAACATGAAAATAACCTTCTACTCAACTCCCTCCGTCTCCTACACACCATCCAGTACTAAATACCCTCCGTCTCCAACACACCTCCCGACACTCAAAAGGCTCCCTCCAGAAGGTGAACTTGAAATTACCCTTCTACTCAACTACCTCCGTCTCCTAGACACCATCCAGTACTCAACAGGCTCTCTCCCCAAACTGAACTTGAAAGTAAACTTCTACTCAACTCCCTCCGTCTCCAACACACCATCCAGTACTCACCACCCTCCGTCTCCAACACACCTCCCGATACTCAAAAGGCTCCCTCCCCAAGCTGAACTTGAAAAAAACTTTCTACTCAACTCCCTCCGTCTCCAACACACCATCCAGTACTCAACACCCTCCGTCTCCAACACACCACCCGATACTCAACAGGCTCCCTCCCCAAGCTGAACTTCAAAAATCCTTCTACTCAACTCCCTCCGTCTCCAACACACCATCCACTACTCAACACCTGCCGTCTCCAACACACCACCCGATACTCAACAGGCTCCCTCCCCAAGCTGAACTTGAAAATAACCTTGTACTCCACCCCCTCCGTCTCCTACACACCATGAGGTACTCCACACCCTCCGTCCCCAACGCTCCACCCGATACTCCACACCTGTCTTCTCCATCACGTAACCAACCGATCTGCCACACTTCTCCCTTTACGGTTGCAGCGCGCGCCTTCCGCCCCCCTTCTCTCTTGGCATCTTCCAAGAGAAAAGGGGGGGTCATGGTGCTTGCTGGGACTTCTGTGTATATATATGTGTGTATATATATATCTATATATATATATAGGCCGGCGCACCCACCATGAACCCCCCTTTTCTCTTGGAAGATGCCAAGAAAAAAGGGGGGCGGCTGCGGTTGGAGTTTCGGGTGTCGCGTCGTGTTGTAGTGGTAGGATCTGGAGTACATGTGTGCGTGTTGGAGACGGAGGGAGCCTGTTGAGTATCGGGTGTTGTGTTGGAGAAGGAGGCTGTTGAGTACTGGGTTTTGTGTTGGAGACGGAGGGAGTTGAGTAGAAGGTTGTTTTCAAGTTCAGCTTGGGGAGGGAGCCTGTTCAGTATCGGGTGTTGTGTTGGAGAAGGAGGCTGTTGAGTACTGGGTGTTGTGTTGGAGACGGAGGGAGTTGAGTAGAAGGGAGCTCAACAAGTCTTCCAAAAAAGAGCCTCAAAAGTGAGTCCGAAAATCGTAGACATCATATGTAAAATCATATATAATCATGAGAAAGGGGGGTTATTGGTGGGTGCGCAGGGCTATATATATACATATATATATATGTATGTATATCTATATATATATGTACCCACTCCACCGGCCTCCTTGTGGAGCCACCAGGCTGTAGGACGGAGCTTCGCAGTTTCCTGTACCAGTTGCAGCTTCCAGTTTCCACAGTTCTGCTTCTTGCTGCTGACTGTTCCTTGTTGACTTCTTGCTGCTTGCTGTTCTTTGTTGATGGACCGCGCGAAGGGGGGAGACCCAAAAGAGGGATTTCTACCACGATCAAAAAGGGTTCTGAGAGTTTCTGGAGGGGTGAAGCTTGACACCTCTCACGCAGATCGGCGGGGTCAGGGTGCAAAAACACAAGGGATGTGCCACACGTCTGAAATCCGGTGGCACCCCTCACACAGATCGGCGGGGTCAGGGTCAAAAAACTGCTGGGATTTGTCACATTTCTTAAATTTGCTGACACCCTTCACGCGATCGGCGGGGTCAATACCCAAAAAAAAATTGGATTTATTCAATTTCTTAAAGTTGCTGGCGCGCCTCACGCAGATCGGCGGGGTCAGGGTCCAAAAACGAACGGAATTTGCTACATGTTTGAAATTCGGTGGCACCCCTCACGCAGATCGGCGAGGTCAGGGTACAAAAACACAAAGGATTTGCCACATGTCTGAAATTCGGTGGCACCCCTCACGCAGATCGGCGGGGTCAGGGTCCAAAAGCACATGGGATTTGCCACATTTCTGAAACCCGGCGGCATCCCTCATGCAAATCAGCAGGCTCAGGCTCCAAAAGCCCATGGACTTCGCTACATGTCTGAAAGCCGGCGGCACCCCTCACGCAGATCCGTAGGGTCAGGGTCCAAAAACACAAGGGATGTGCCACACTTCTGAAATTCGGTGGCGCCCGTGACGCAGATCCGTAGGGTCAGGGTCAAAAACAAAGAGGTCCCGACACTGCTTCACGGCGGCGCCCACACCTCATGATTTAGGTCTTGCATCTCCCATTATTCAAGACAGGGGGGCCCGGCGGCATGGGGCGAAGCCCTCACGGATAGATATATATATATATATATATATATATACACGACCAGTGATAAGGTGATTCGGGGGGGGGAGGAACCAACGTCTCCCTCAATCGGTCTCACTATCGATATCACTATCGCTCTCACTATCGATATCACTATCGATCTCACAATCGATCTCATTCGACCTACTTCATCCGGTCGATCTCACAATCGATCTGACAATCGATATCGCAAGCGACCTCACTATCGATCTCACAATATATATAGATATATGTATATATATACATATATATAGATATCTATATATATATATATATATATATCGCATTCGGTCGCATTATCGATCCCACTATCGATAGCACAATCGATCTCACAATCAAAGTCACCATCACCATTATCAGCATCATCGACATCAACGCCATCAACATCATCATCATCATCATCATCATCATCATCATCATCGGGGCACCATCATCACCACCTCATCACCATCATCATCATCAACATCATCATCACCACTACCATCGTCATCGGGACACCATCATCGTCACCACAAGCATCATCAACATCATCATCATCGGGACACCATCACCATCAACATCGGAACACCAGCATCATCATCATCATCATCTCATCACCATCACCATGAACAACATCATCAAAATCATCATCATCGGGGACACCACCATCATCGCCACCACCACCATCATCACCATAATCAGCATCGGGACACCATCGTCATCACCAACATCGACATCATCAGCATCATCACCATCGGGCCACCAGCATCAAAACCACCACAACCAAATCATCGTCCTCACCATCATCTACATCACCATCATCGGGACACCAGCATCGTCATCAACATCACTTGCAACATCATCATCATCATCATCATCATCGGGACACCATCATCATCATCACCATTACCACCAACACCACCATCATCAGCCTCATCATCATCATCGGGACATCATCATCATCATCATCATCATACTCACATCATCCCGTCATCATCACCATCATCAGGGTCACCAACATCATCATCATCGAGACACCATCAACATTTTCAGCAACATCAGCATTACCAACATCATCATCATTGGGACACCATCTTCATCATCATCACCATGGTCATCATCATCACCATCATCATGATCATCGTTTCATCATCACCGGGACACCATCATACTGCCTCCAGGTGGTTCCAGGCCTATCTATCATACTGCGCAGCGTCGGAGGGAGCGCCCTCAGTATTGTATTTGTGCGGGTGCAGTCCTGCCACTGGGAAGAGGACAACGGAAAAGACGGGGTCCGTAAGGAGATCCTCGAGTGCTGCTTCCAACCGGAGTCCGAAGTCCCCCCAGCGCTGTTCGATCTCCAACGGGAGGTCGTACTGCACGTTGAAGCTCTTGGCGTGGTGGTCCCCCCTCTCTGCCACCTCCTGGGTCGCCCCAGTCCTGTTGTCGTGTGCCTCTTTGGCGGCGAGGGTGTCGGAGCCCAGCGGCAGCCAGGAGGCGAGGTCACCGATCGGGCCGAAGCCAGCGTCAGTGAGCAGCTCGTTCGCTTGCCGGGGCCCTGGCCGGGGGGGCAGAGAAAACGTGCCCAGAGGCCTGCGCAACCGTAACTTGGTGTCGGCCATGGAGGGCATCATGCGGCCGTCGGCGATGACCACGATGCCCCGCCTGGCCCGCGCAAGTCCAACGTTGACTCTGTTGGGGTTGTCCACGAAGCCCCACGCGCGGTTGGAGTTGGACCGCGTAGTGGGGAAGATGACTTGGTCAGCCTCGCCACCCTGGCTGGCGTCGACAATAGAGAGGGCGAGCCGTCCCGAGGCAAGGTATTGGTGGGCGATCTGGCGGATGCCAGGGAACTCCAGGTTCAGGCCGTTGGCACCATTGGGCCAGTGGGTGAAGGCTGCCCCTTGGCCTAGTCTCTCGGTGATGTAGTCGGGGTCCCGGGGATTTGGGCCTCGAGTCGGCGCGCGTAGAGGTCGGGACCGAAGCAGCAGGGAAGCGACTACGTTGGGGGGTGACGGCTGGTGGGGGGGTGCCAGAGGCGTCACGGCGGCGCCGGCTAGTAGCGTCCGGTGAGGCAGCGCGCCGTGGGGGCAGGGGAACGAGATGCGGGCGGGTGTCGGGGCAGGGAGCGTCAGTGGATTTGTCGCCCCATCATGGCAATTTGCAGGTCTGGGGGGGGGAGCGGCCAATCGTCCTCGAGGATTCCTCTCTGCAGCCTGTACGGGACGATGGCCTTGACGGAGAAGCCATTGTCCATCTCTGGTAGCAACGCCCGAACGAGATCTACGGTCATGGTAGACTCGGGGATTTTGGCGCATCCTCCGGCGAGGTGTGATGTCAGACCGTAGCACCTCTTGTCCACCAGTAAGGTAAGATGGGCATCCTCCGACATACTTGGGACCCGTGGGTGGAGCCCGTCGCAGTCCCTCATCAGGTCGTCGACACTGATACCGAGCGCTTCGGCAAGGGATTCACACCGCCCAGGGTCGAAGTCATTAGCCTGGGCCCATGGTGAGCGCGGCACCAGGGGGCGTTCGGCGAGGGGGTCAGTGACGCCACTGAGCAGTCCACGGTTGTAAGACGCCTTGGAAGGGAACAGCGTGAGAAACGGGCGCATGCGGAATATGTGAGCAAGGTTAACGCATGCTCTGTCTTGATCACCCGGTTGATACCCGAGAGAATCGTGTCGGTGCTGGAAGATGGACAGGGAGAGACCAAGGTCTGCACCCGTCCGAGCGATGCCAAGGGCAGCGTCGGGGTGGGGCCCAGGGGGAACGTCGAGCTTGAACAGACGATACCTCGACGATCGATTGGCAATCGGCCCGCGATAGCAAATCCGCACGCTCCTGCGCTAGATGGTTGTCTGGCCCCCGTCAGCGATGAATGGGCGTTCGGCGATCGGAGGTCGATGCATCCACGACCTGAGTCTTCCCCCCCCAACGTTGCCCCTATGGCCCCAGGAGTCGCAGCCTGAGCGAGCCTTCGCGTAAAGAGGAGCCCACTGGAGCCGAAACCTGGGAAAAGCATCGGGACTGCACAAAATACGACGGCGGCCGCGGCGAAAGCGGTCGCCGCAAATGGCCGCGCCGACTGCGACGGCGGCGGTGACAGCCTTCCTCGTCCTCGTCCTCGTCCTCGTCGACGACGACGCTCCTCGACGACGGCCCCAACATCCGACGATGTGTTTTTTTCCGTCCACGGCTGCATAGACGAGGTCCTGACCCATTCCCTGGGAGCAACTTTCGCCCCGGATACGTTTTGATGGCCCTGGGCCCCGAAGATGTGTCGGACGAAAGTTGGGTGGGGGTAGCAAAGGGACGTGAGCGCATCAGCTCAAGCAGCTGGTGATTCCAGGCGCCTTCAATCGCCCTTGTATCGAGGAAAGGCGCACAGCGGCGGGGTCGAAACTAGTTGTTAGCAGTAGACTCTCTAACCCCCATTTTTCCAATGCGACCCTTTGTCCGACACGAGGCATGTGCGCAGACGAGCTTGGGCTAGGGAACGGACTGAAAAAAGATGGGGCCATGCGATCTGGGAGATAGTATGCCCTGGCTATGATATCCACACGCCGCTAATCCTCGCCCCCCTCTTGGACGCCCCTGGGGTCGAGATCCAAACAAACGCGATGGTGATAGTTGTTTGTTTCTCTTTCCCAGGGCCCAGAACCACGCGACGCCCAACGGAGACCCATCAAAAGCACGCGCCTGGACTGGACAGCTGGACAGCCTTGTTTGTGGTGAAACAAGGTAAAAATGTGAAACAAGGTGGGGGGTTGTTTCAAATGAGGTACGGACTTGTGCGGCAGTGAGATTTGAATAACAAAAATGGGCGTGTTTTCCACCACCAGCACCATAAATTGGAGGGGGGGCTCCTCCGCCTCCTCCTCCTCGTTCTCCACCTCCTCCTCCTCCTCCTCCTCCTCCTCCTCCTCCTCGTCCTTCTCGTCCTCCTCCTCCTCCTCCTCCTCCTCCTCCTCCTCGTCCTCCTCCTCCTCCTCCTCGCCCTCCTCCTCCTCCCCCCCTCCATCTTGTGGTGGTGGTGGGAGACAGGCTCACTGCAGCACGCCGCATGCCCGGGGAGCCCGGCCTCAGACCTCCGACACGCGCGCCTGGCTCCGCGCTGCTGCCCGCACGGCCCCCCCGCTCCAGAGCTCCCTGTCAAGGCCCCGTGTAGACCCGGACACGCTAGACCCGGACACCCAACATCCCTCGAAGCCGCAATTTCTAAACGGCGGTACGAACAAAATACTGCACTGCAGCATTTCCAGAATAAGCCCGGACACAGGCCTCAAAAGCCTGCAGGATCCCCCTAAACCCGGACACAGACCCGAATCCTGCAGTGCAGCAAACAAAACATGCACGGGTGCTGAAAAACGTGACCTTGCAGGAAAGGATGTCGTTTCCTTGGTTTTCCGTGTCCTGGTTTGTCTGTGTCCTGGTCTCCGGGGGCCTGACTCTGGACCCCTTCCCAGGAACCGGGCGGAGACGAAGACGAAGCGGTCCCCATTTCGATCGTCACGACTTGAGTGGTGGGCCTGTTTTCCACCACCACCACCATGAGTTGGAGGGGGAGGGGGTCCTCCTCCTCCTCCTCCTCCTCCTCCTCCACCTCCTTCCCCCCTCCAACTTATGGTGGTGGTGGTGGAAAACAGGCCCATCATTGAGGGCCCACGGGGGGGTGCTAAAGGTGCACCTGGCCAAGGTGCCCCCAGCTTTCCGTTCCACTTTGCAGCCCCTGTCCCCCTGTGCCTCGTGATGGGGTGCTCCGAAGTCTGGGAGGCCTCCTTGGAGATCCTGGGAACACCCTGGGCCAAAGGCACTTCTAGCAACACCCGAACTTCCCGTGAACCGGGTCTTCGTCCTGGTCCTTAAGACGAAGCCAAGACGAGGATAACATCGGTGATGATGAATCGGGAATCTCTCGGGCGCCACGGTCCTCTCAGAGCTTCTGGGAACGCTCTGAGAGCGCGTTCCAGAACGCTCTGGAACGGATCTATCCTCATCATGGTCACGTCCGGCTCATTTTGTTGACGGTCCTGGTGCCTGGCGAGGGCCCCTGGACGCCGAGAACAGTGCAAAAACCTCCGTCTTGAAGTTGTTCAGTACAGGTCTGAGATTGCGGCGGCGCAGGCGGTCGCGGCCTGAGCGCCACGGAGGCGGCGGCACAAACAGCCGCCGCCCACGCGTCCGCGTCGGCGCAAGAGAAGGCGAGCAGGACGAGGGACTCCCGGCCGCGCCCTCGCGGCGGCGGCGAGGGCGGGGCAGAGGCGTCCTCCTCGTCGTCCTCGTTGGTCATCCTCATCAATGGTCGTCCTCGTTATCGTCGATCGTGCGCTCCCGCTTCACCTCCTCCTCCTGCTCCTCCTCGGAGGGAGGGGAGAGGAAAGAAGGAGTAGCAGGATGAGAAACTTCCTCCTCTCCTCATGCTGCTCCTCGACCTACTCCCGCTCTTCCCCCTTCTCCTCCACTCGTCGTCGCCGTCGCCGTCGCCGTCGATGTCGTTGCCATCGTCGTGCTCCTCCTCCTCCTCCTCCTCCTCCTCCTCCTCCTCCTCCTCCTGCTCCCCTTCCTCCTCCTCCTCCTCCTCCTCCTCCTCCTCCTTCTCCTCCTCCTCCTCCTCTTCCTCCTCCTCCTCCTCCTCCTCCTCCTCCTCCTCCTCCTCCTCCTCCTCCTACGGTCGACCGAGGGAAATGATCGATGCTTCGATTGTGTCTGGCTCTTCTGGGGCCGAGGAGGCGGGGACCCCGCCCTTCTGAGGGGGGCCCGGCTCCGGCGTCCAGCCTCCATCCTCCACCTCCTGCTCGTTCTCCTCGTCGGACCTCTTCCTTCTCCTGCTTCGTCCTCCGGCTCCTTCCTCCTCCTATCCCTCATCCCTCATCCCTCTCCCCTCCTCATCCATCCTCTCCCTCCTGCTCCCCATCCCCTCATCCCTCATTTCTCATCCTGCTGCTCCGCCTGCTGCTCCCTCCTCCCTCATCCTTCCTTCTCCCTCAGCTTCCCCCCTCCTACCGCCTCCCTCCTCCTTACCCTCGCCGTCGCTCATGGCGCTGCAGCTGCCAAGCTGCGGGGCGCGCGTATTGGCATGAAGGAAGCGGATCCTGAAGGTTCGAGGATCAAGGGGCTATGAAAGAAACATAATAATAGCAAGAAGTCGAATCACAACAATAAGAGTAATGACTTAAGAAACATACTAATAAGACGAATACTAATAAGAAAAAACATAAGAGGAGTCGGAGGTGCAAAGCGAGCGCCTCGCGCGCAGCGTCCCCACTATCTGGACGGGCACGGGCAAGTGCATCACCCCTTGGCGACTCGCCCCTGTGGTGTCCACATGCCACGCCTGCTACGTCGCGGTGTTCACGGTGCTCTCACAGCAAAAAAGAATCTGAGGGAGTCTGAGTGCGAACAAGCTTGTGCGAGCGAGTCTGAGTATGCGCGTCTGGGTCTGAGTGAGTCTGAGCGTGAGTTGGTCCTAGCCTGAGCGAATGGAACTGAATATGAGTAATCCTGGGTGTGAATCAGTCTTAGTGTCAGTCTGAGTACGATTGATTCGCCACCGTGCCTTTGAGGCACGAGTTGGAGTATTATCAGGCATCCGGTTCGATCCCCAAGAGCCTCAGTCCTCAACCCTGAGATTAGTTAAGGGGCCTGGACCCCACCTTCTCATATCGTTCGGGAAATTCCAAATCCTCTCGCGTGAATTGCTCGAGCCCAAGAGGGCTCGAAGACGGGCCAAGAGGGCCCTCAGAGGCTCCTGAGGCGGTCTGAGAGGGCTGCGAATCGCCAATCCCAAGACGCCCAAGATGGCCTCCAGTCGGCCGAACATGTCCCCAAGACGCCCCAAGAGGCCTCCAAGGGCACTCCCAAGAGGGCCCCAAGAGGTAAATCATTGATGTCCTTTAGATGTGTCAAAGATTTTGGCGTTCTCGCCTTTCCGGCTTCCCAACGCTCCGAGACGGCCCAAGACGCCCCAAGATCACCCCAAGACGGCCCCAGAGTCCCCAAGATGGTTCCAAGGGGGGTGCCAGACGGGATACCCGAACGGACATATCGAGCCCTCGGCACCGAACGGCTCCCAAGAAAGATGCCCCAAAAGGCCCGGAGATGCCCCGAAGAGGCCCCCACAGGCCCCTAGAAGCCTCAAGGGGCTTCCAGGAGGCTTCTAAGATGCCCCCAAGAGGCCCTCAAACTGCCCCCAAGAGGCCCCCGAGAGCGCTCCGAAGAGACCTCAAGAAGCATCCCTGAGGACACTGACCCACAACCCAGGCACGTTGGCGGGACTTACCGAAGGCCACTAGATACCGAGTGTGAGCATGTCTGAAGGTGGGTAAGTCTGAGTCTGAGGCCGTCCCATTCGGAGTGAGTCATAAAACGAGTGCGTCTAAGTATGAGTGAGTCTGAGTTCGCATGGGTTTGTGGGTGAACTGGATATGAGTACAAATCTGACTAACGGCTGGGTCTGGGCGTAGAAAAGAGAAAGCGGGAGTGAGACTGATGGAGAGATGTCACACTAATCAGAAGAGCCCAACCCCATCTTACGATATGGGGGACAAATCCTCCATGTCCATGTCGCACAAGAAAGCGTGCCCGTAGGCTGGGCCAGGCGCTTCGTTTGAGAATCCCTTACACGTTTTACCCCGTATCCGAACATCTTCCAATAGTTACACGGGTAAAAAAAAACGGTCGCGTCCAAAATCTTGATATCGCCAACGTGCCACGCACATTCGCCTACATAGCTTCCAACAATTACACGGATGGAGGGCCATCCGTTTTCTACGTGTGGCCATCTCCGCAGCACTGCGCACGTTCGTCTGAAACACGTCCAACAACTACGTGGATCGAGGCCGACACGCTTCCAAAATATGGCTCTCGTCGGGGACATGCAAATGCAGACTATCACGCGTGGAAACTTGAGCAGCAATGCCACTGATGGTGGGCCCAGGGCTGAACCTAAACGGTGTTCTTAGTTTTCGTCTTGTTTTCGTTTTCCCTCGCTGTTGTCTCGAATACGCCTGTGCCGCACAATCGCCAAAATGCGCCTCGCTTGTTTCGAAGTCGAAACGAAAACGGCCCACGAAATCGCCAAAAACACCGCTTTAGGTCCAGCCCTTCGTGGGCCTGAGAACTCTGTCTGATGTACGACCACAGTGTGAGCACTGCGTCACAGCTCACCCGAGGCAGGGCGCCCTTTGCTCCTCAAACGGGGCTGACGCTGGGCACTTCCCCGACACTGAGACACCAAACCTTTGCCACAGTCCTGCAAGCTCGAAGGCGGCTGGCGGCTCCCTTCACGAGCAAATGCCGCCCGGACTGCGGGCTGGGGCGAAATCGTTTTTTTCAAGAGGGGCGCTCCCGGCAGAGAAGAGCAATGCGTGCAGGGACTACATCGAAAGGGGGAGGATGGAGGGGACTTCTCGGACGGCAGGGTGCGCTGCAGCATCGTCGGTACATCTTGGGTTGCATCACTCCTCGTCTTCCTCCTCCTGCCCCCTCATCCTTAGGTGTCGCTCCACTGGCCCCAGGTGCGGCGGATGAACACCTCCTCCTCCTCCTCCCCATCATCATCATCACCCCCCTCCTCCTCCTCTTCCTCAAGCTCAAGATGGTGTGGCTAAAGCTTCCTGAGCACCCCCTCCTCCTCCTCCTCAAGCTCAAGTCGCACGCTCATGCTGTGGGGGGTGACGCATGTTCTACAGGTCAGCAGCCGTTTCGCGTCCTGGCTCAAGCAGCAGAACGTACGATTTCCGCGAATGATTATGCCGACTCTCGTGGTCATCAAATTCACCGTCGTTCGCGAGCTGACGAGCCAACTCTTGCCCAACAGTACTCTCAACAAACGAATACATATCGCGAGCCTCCACTCTCCGACAGTGTTGCTACTTGGTGGACCACTGTTTCAGTTATTAGTCAGCGCTTAGCGTGACATCGTTGGAGGGAGAACGGTTGCAAGGACATCGAGGAGCTCATTCGGTCAAGGGTGAAGCTTTCCCAATACGTCCCCATTAAAGCGCACTTTGGCTCGTATGGTCAATTTCCAGGAGGAACCCTCTCTGGAAGCTCGGGTGCATGATTTGGGTAGCTTGGGAGCGCTTAGCGAGGAGGTGTTGGGCAAACTGGCCTCCTTGGCTGAACGTATCTCGACAATAGGGCTCAGCGCAAGGCTATTAGGCACTCGTTGCATCGATTTCAAGAATGGACTACGAACCGTACGACTAATTGTCGAATGTTACGCAGTTTGCGCAACGAGCCATCTCCAGACGACGAATGCTTGCAACGAGGAGCTCGTCTGTTCAACCGTATTGATGCGATCGATGCCGCGGCCGAGAAATAGTATGCATTGTGATCCGGTCAACCAATGTCTCACGAGCACGCTTTCGAGCTTGTTGTCCGTATTCAATATGAGGCGCTTTCGGATGAGCTGCCTAAGCAGAAGATTGGAGATCTTCGCTGCGCCCTCGGTCAAGATGCGGCCGAACGCAGGCCTTGGTCTCGATCAATTTACCCCTCTCGTCTTCGAGAGGCAGTCAGACACGGACCTGCGTATTCAATACGAGGCGATTTTGAATGACGTGTCTGAACTTACGATTGGAGGTCTTCGTTGCGCCTTCCGTAAAATGGTGCCGGACGTAGGCCTTGGTCTCGATCAAATTACCCCTCTCGACTTCGAGAGGCTGCCAGACACGGAGCTACAATCGTGATGTGGTCTCTGCACGGCCCGTGCGCAGACTCTCGCGCGGGTGGCAGGCGCTGGCGACATTGGGGGAATTACTAGCCAAGAGATCAGGCGTGGACAAAGTGAGCACTCTTTTATTCGGCGTCTCGACATTGGGCGGGAAAGGGGGGAGGGGGACGGGGGTCTGTCTCCGGACCTCTGCTTAGTGCGACTGTTTGCAGCGGTGCGGCCGATGGGGGAGGGACCCCACCTGCTCGAAACAGGCGCCACAACAACCAAGATCTACTCCATGGGGGGGGAGAGGGGGGTGCGAACGCCGGCGCCGATCGGCAAAACAATTGATAAAAAACGCCCATAAGATTATGGGTTTTCCGTGTATTCTTTGCCGTCTGAGGCCCCGTTCACTGGGTGGTTTTCCGACGCAATGGATTGATCTAGCTGCGCCAGCTTGGGACGCTGCTATCGCAGGTAATTCAACTACGCGAGAAGCTTATCGCAGGGACCTGGATGCCGAGTGATACAAGAGTCTTGGGAGCATTCCAGCCTTTCAAATCCATTGCCCAACGACTCAAGAATGGATCACGTTTTGCAGGATGCTTGATTGTTATCCAAGAGCAGGTTTCGTCCGGCCCGTTCTCGGCATCCCAACGTATTTGGATCCATGATTGGATATCGCAGACCCTGGGATCGAAACAGTTGGTCACCGATGGTACGTTTGATGTTATTGGCCTCGTGGCCAGATATGTGAAGAAGTCTAGGCTCCAGCTTGCGGACACGAGCGTTGTCCTTAGCCCATCGCGCGCAGTTGCTATGCGTATCGCTTCTCGTTTGAAGCGCCGTGGAGTCAAGACCACGGCGGTGCTCCAGGCTCCGCACTTGGATCAACTTGGGAGTGGGTGGGGGACAGGCGAAGACGAGGAGGCAGAGAATGGTGAACTGTAGTGTGCAACGCCGCAAACTTCGAGAATACGCTCGTTCGGCTGGGAGACTGTTGATCACCAAGGAACTCGAGCTGATAGGGCCGAAGGCATGTTCTAATTTCTGTTTGGAGGGGTTTGGCGTTAAGGCAAGCAGCTCCAACGCCTTCGGCAACGATTAGGAACACTCCCTGGATCGGGGAAGAAAGGCAAATGTCTGACCACTCTTTTGGATAGTCGTGCGCCTAACCACGATTTTGGCACTACGTTCCCCAAATCCTGCATTATGACGAGGCTTGACAACTGGATTCGAAGGGAGCTGGAGGGTGTCAATTGCAATCGGCGTCCTAGGCAGATTCGGGGCCCCATCTCGGCTGTCATAGTGTGCTTGCTTTCGGCCCACTGGACCAGCCACGGCGCCCAACGACTGAAAAATGACCCCATCATCCGTGCAGACGTATACGATGTTCAGTGGGCATTCCCACCTAATGCTCCAGCTTCGGCGTCCGAAGCCCAGGGCTCTTGGACGACTTTCAATCCACACGCTCGGCCGAGCAGTGGGCGTCTGCCGAATCTAATTTCTGTGGCGCACGCTTTTCAGACGAAGTTGACCAGTTTTCTCTTCGCGCTCTTCTGCGCCAGCTAGGTGACAAACATGGCGGACAGTCAGCGAACGTTTTGGTACTGCATTGTTGCATTGGGTGTTGGGCGGAGGGCTGGCAGTTTCAGCGTGGGCTTGCAAATCGAGAGTCCAGCCCCGAAACAGCACTGCAAAAGCATTCGCTTTGTCTGGGCAACTCCGACCATCCAACATTCGTTCGTTCCTCCGGTCTCATCCCTAAGGCTTTAGGGCAAGGGGGGGCCGAGGCCTGCCCGAAGACTGCTGCCGTGTAGGTTGACGTGCGCACAACCGCCGCCGAGACAGGAACGGTGGCATTCAACGGATACGTTGCCCACCGACCTCGGCCCAAAATCATTTGGGACGGATGCTGCTTGCATTCTTGATTTTGTCTTTGGCGATGTTTCTGGAGGGAAGGAGGAAGGAGATGAGCGTTTGCGCAGGGTCGACCTTGCTGTCTGTGTTCTTGTCCTTAAGGATCCGGTTGTCATTGGCCCCGCTGTTTTTTTTCGGGCCTCACGTAGGCCGCCATCAGTCGGTTCCCACGGGAGTGCCCAGAGGCGTAGAGCTGGCCATCCAGCTCACTGTCGGGGATCTGGTTTACAACACTGAGCAACAATGAAAATTCGAGGGGGTGATGCGACAGGCCGTCGAGGGTGCTCGCCGACATTTGGAGCGAGATCGGAGGCTGCCGAGGGCTCGCAATGGTTCAACTGTAACACTGGAAGCCACATCCCACGTCGATGTTGCAGACCCAGTGTTTAAGCGTTTTCCCGACTGGATGTCTGCACGTAGCGGGGCCGCCGATGCGCTACCCGCTCGTATCGCCCAGGTTTTACATTTTACCATGCAGGGGCTATCGAGGCGGATAACATGGAGAAACACATCCGCAAACGATTGGGGATGTCCACTCTGGCTGCGACTGAACCTTCTGTGTTGGTCCACAGGGCTGAGAGACATCGGATGCGTCCCTCCCTGATGCCGCTGCTGCTCCGCCTCCGCCACCTCCTCCTCCCCCCCGCCGACGCAGCTCAGTTCTCTTCCATCCAATATATGATGAGCAGTCTGCGTGGCACCATCACTCGGCACTGTACACCACGTGTCTGGCCCCGCCGCCCCGGCCAAAAGCCAGGGAGAAGGGGGGGGTGAAACGCCGACCGCGGGCAAGGACGCCAGACGATTAAGGGGGATACCCCGGAGGGGAAGGGAAGGGGAGGAGGAGGGGACAGGAACCAGAAGGCGGGGAAAGCGGGCGCGTGGCCGTGGGACCCGAGCCACCGATCCCCCGCCGTTGGGCGCTGTACGAGAGGCCGCTGCTCCGCCTCGGTGGCCGCCAGGCTCTCCCGGCTGTCCTGCCCCTGCCAGGGGCGGGAGGCGGTGGGGGGGGCCAAGCGCTCGGGCCTCCGCGGGGGGTTATCGTGTCCATGTTGGGACGGGAACTCACGCACTATTCCCACTAGATGGTCTGGTCTGCAGTTTTCGGACTTCGGACTTGCGGGGATTGCGGGCTTCATGGGGAGCTCGCCATCTGCGGGCTCCTTAAAGCCTGCGGCCCCATGGCATATGTTTCAGAGAAGCGGCGAGAGTTCTGAACAGGCTCAATAGAAGCATCAGGCCAAAAGCCTTGTGCAAATCATAGCTACTTTTGTTTCATATGACTGCGTCATCGACCCCATTCCCATTCCCATTTCTCCTTTTGTTCCTCATCTTCCTCCTCCTCCTCCTCCTCCTCCTCCTCCTCTTCCTCCTCCGCCTCCGCCTCCCCCTCATCTTTCTCCTCGTCCCTCCCTTCTCCCTCATCCCCCCTCGCCTCCTTGAAAAGGCGGCCATGAAAGATGCCACCGTCACTCTCCTTTGGAGGTCCCGTCTACCAATCCTCGCTCCTTCTTTGAGGAACCAAGAACTACGTAACCATGAACTGTCGGAGATCCACGCGGATAAATACCTTGGATCGGCGGTGGAGCACGCCAGGGGCGGCGCCAGATGCGCAACCATGGGCGGCGCCAGATGCGCCGCCATGGGACTCCAGCGCCGATCTGTGAAATCCGCACAGACCTCCGAAAGTTCATGGTGATGTCATGCTTTGTTCCCCGAGTCCTCACCCTTCCTCCCTCCCCCTCCTCCCTCCACCTCCTCGTCACTCCCTCCCTCCTCCTAGTCCTCCTCCTCGTCCCTCCCTCCCTCCTTTTCGTTCTCCTCCTCTCCCCCTTTCCTGCCTACTCGATCATCCCTCCTCCCTCCCTCCCTCCCTCCTCCATCCCTCCTCCTCCTCCTCCTCCTCCTCCTCCTCCTCCTCCTCCTCCTCCTCCTCCTCCTCCTCCTGCTCCTCGTCTTCCCCCATCCAGCTTTGGCCTCCGGGGCCGCTCCGCTGGCCCCTGGCGAAGTGGATGAACACCTCCCGGCCGCGGCACGCCACCTTTCCCGGGGGGGCAGCGCGGGCAAGGGTCAGACCCAGACATCTAGGTGGGATCGCCGCGGGGTTGCTGAGTGGACAGAGGGGCCTACAAGCGTCAGTTGGCAGTTCCTGGGGGGGCTTTGTCAGAACGGTCAAGTTCTTTTGACCACGATCCGAGGGTCAGTGGGCCAGATCAATCCAAATTGAGCCGGGATCCGGCCGATTCCATAGAATCTGGGACTCTGCCGGAACAGGCCAATTGTCGACCAGGATACCAACGCTGACTCAGAGCTTAATCTCCCAAGAGTAACCCTAGTAAGCGGACGCCACATGTGTCGGATCTGGTTCAACATGGCTGACTAGAAGTGGGTTACAAAAAACCCATCGGCTGAGGGCGGAGCCCACTTAACCACCAACCACCAGGCCTGCCTACCGCAACTCGTCCGCGCACTTTGTCTGCTGCTACCTGGGGAAGGGGGGCAGGAGAAAAAGAGGCAGGCGGAAAACGACGACGACGACGACGACGACGACGACGGCGGCGACGACGACGGCGCCCGACTCCCAAACAGCGCTTATACTTACGGTGCCATGTCTGGGGTCCACGCAGCTTCCCGACCCCCGAACAGCGCCTGCACTGAGCAGGGCGCTGTCTCGGATCCACGCCGTCGCCCTGCTTACTTGTCACAGGGGTCTCGCTGGCAAGTAAGGCTGCCAGTCACCAGTCGGACCCCAACAGCCACGTTCGTGATTTGCCCAGACCTATCTCCCAACCCGCAGCCACAGGGCGGGGCATTCTCGGCTCCGCACCGCAGCGCTGCACAGCCCCAGCGCGTGCCCCTTACCGGGCGACGCTACAATTCGACGCCATGGAACTGCTCGACAGGGAGAAATCCCGCGCATCTGGGTCCAGCGACACTCATGCCTCCTTGCCGGAGGACTCCGGCGGGGACCCATTTGGGACCGAGCTGAAACCGTTCCTGCAGCAGCGCTCGCACCTGACGAACCGAGCTTCGCATTCGTCAGGCGCGCTTTTGGTCGTTTCGTCTACTGGCGCACGCGACCGCGCCCACCAAAAAGAGCAGCGCGCGCGGCGCGGCTCGTCATCGGACTAGCGGTGCATCATCATGCTACCATGCCATATGTTGCGCTGGCGGGGCATGGCTCTCCATCGAAGCCTGCCTTGCCGCAGGCGGTGCAGCCGCCGCCGAAAGGGCGCCCGCATGCTCCGGGACTTCAGGATCCCCCGCCGGCGCGGACCCCTTCTCATGCTTCAGGAGCAACTCAAGGACGCAGCGCGCGCGATCGTAGCGCACGGGCATGCCCGAACGTGGGCTCCACCTGCCCAGTGCCCGGCTGTCTTCCATGGGGAAGTGGAGCTGGCCAGCAAACGCCGGGAAGAGACATCCAGGGCTGCGCAACGACCACTCGGCATTACTACCAATGCCGCCACATGATCGAAACACCCGTCTCATGACGCCCAACGCGCCAGAATATTTCTCTGGGCGCACTCGGCTAAGAACGGCAACGTGGCCGGACTCTGCCGCCGTCGCTGTGACGATAAAGTCAGCAGCAGCCAAATCTACGCAGCCGGCCACGGCAGCATGGAACTGCAAGCCCCAATCGCGCCCTTGCAATCCCCCCGCGGGGCGGCCGACGGGATCTTGCCGACCTTGTTTTTTGACCTCCACAATTCCGCGTTAAGCACGTCCCGCGACAGACTGCAAAAGTGGATTTTCGTAGGTATGCCCAGCGGAATAGTCGAACGCCAGTGCCAGCACGACTCCCGTGGCAATTACTATTGCTGAATCGCGCGCCCCAGCCGCCACAAAAAAACTGGTCGGAAGACAATCATCAATTGCCATCGTCAGCGGGTTTGCCTGCTGCCGCTGTTCCTCCGTCTGTTTTTGTTGACAGCACTTGTATGCTGGAACGGAAATTTTGAGCTGACAAATGCCGTTCCACGTTCACCGTATCCGGTAAGCCCGTGGGCACACACGCTTGCAACCTCGGCGACAACACAAACACTTGCTCAGACATGAACCCTTGAGCCAAATCGCGCCGTTATGCCTCGGAGCCGAAAACCTCCGGAAAAGGGGAAAAGGCGGATGGCGGCCATTCGAGTGGGGAAACCCGAGCGGCCTTGCGCTGTCAATCGCCCCCGCCCCGACTGCACAGTCGGCCGCCGTCGGCCCCTCACCCAAATCCACAACAGCAAGGTTTGTGCGGCACTCGGTGGTACGACGAAAACTGTGGACGCCACAGACCCTGCCTACCACAAGCCTCCAAGCAATCGATTTCCCTGTCGGTTTTGGAAGATTTTGCCGTTCTCATATGTTTGGTCTCCCGACGCTCAAGGACGGCCCAAGAGGCCCCACATATCACCCCAAGACGGCCGAAAAGGCCTCCAAAAGAGGCCCAAAAAGGACGAAGAGGGGCACAAGACGGCCCAAGAGGCTTCCAAGACGGCCCAAGATATCCCTAGGACGGTCCCAAGAGGGGGGCCAGACAAGGAACCCGTACGGACATTTCAAGCCCTCGGTCCTAAGAGGCTCCCAGGACGCCCCAAGAGGCTTCGAAGAAACGTCCCAAGAGGGCTCTTGGCGGCAGAAACCATAAGTTTCCCTGTCGGCTTTTGAAGATTTGGCGTTCTCATATGTTTGGCTTCCGGGCGCTCAGGGACGGCCCAAGAGGCCCTACTTATGGCCCCAAGACGGCCGAAGAGGCCTCCAAGACGGCCCAAGATATCCCCAAGACGGCCCCAAGAGAGGGCCAGACGGGGAACCCGAACGGACATGTCAAGCCCTCGGGCCCAAGAGGCGCCCAGGAGGCCCCCAAAACTCCCCACGAGCCCCCCCAAAGGCTCCAACAGGCTCCCAAAAGGGTCCAAATAAGGCGCCCAAGAGTCCCCACAAACCCCCAAGAAGCCCCAAGAGGCCCCCCAGAGTCTCCCTCCGAAGAGACCCCAAAAAACATCCATGATAATTTTGACCCACGACCCAGGTATTTTTCGGAACTTATTTTCAGAGCTCTCTTGAACCCTCTTGGCGCCCTCTGGGGTAGTCGAACGGCTCCCTTCGACAGGGCGCGAGCCACATCTCCAAACATTTCCTCGAAGATCGCACTGCCTTCCCTCTGGGCGCGAGCACACCACCACGAAACCACAGTGATGCGAAATGGGATGGGTCGGCGGAATAAGCAATACGATCAACGAAACGCACGCCCAAGACTATGGCTGAGGCTACGACAGAGGCTGGGGCCCACGTTAAAGCTGCGGCCAAGAGCGCGACAAAACAGCACGAACAACAACAACAACGATCATTTTAAGACTGTTCGCTCTGATATGTTCGCGTGTCACTCAATATTCATATCCCAAACCCCGGGTCCCCCCCTGTTCGTCTTCGATCGTCCCCACTTTGGGGGGTAAATTCTTTCCCTGCCACGCGTGGTTGGTGAAGCCCTTGAAAACGAAGGGTAACAGATAACAGGGGAGAACGAGGACGAAGGGATCGGAGGAAGGGAAGGAATGGGCAATAAGGAAGGAGGGCGATGATTTGCGCTGCGGGTGGCGATTCAGCTTGCGCCATGGCTCGCGCCAGCCACCCCAACAAAGGTTAACTAGAACATTTCGCCATGGGTCACACCATAAAAAACACCACGCACCGCCCCCTTGAAATAAGATGTCGTGGATACCCCCACGGGGGACGTGCACCTGCGAACTGGTGTCAGAGACAAATTTCGTGGAACCTTGAAAAGAAGCGGGATGATGGGAGAGGGGGGCGGAATGATAGGAAAACTGCAACAGTGTCGAGAGGAGCGAAAGGATGTGGAATGGATTGGGATGGGGTGGACATGGGTAGGGTCTCAGGAGGAGGAGCGGCACGGAGTGGAGAAGAGGAGCCGGCAGGAGTGCGGAGGAGCGGCGAGCGCACGAAGAATTCTGGAGAAGCGACTGGGAATAATTTGGGGGAAATGCGGGATGCGAACGAGAAGGGGTGGAGATTGTTGGGGTGGGGTGGGGTGGCCCGGGGAGGAGTGGGCGGAATGCGAGGAACTGAGGACTAGCACAATGGGGTACGAGCGAACTGAAAATGAAGATAAAGGAAAAAGTAAAAAAGACTCGGGAAGAACGTTGAAAAATGGGGGCAGGTGGATGCGAGCGGACCGGTGCGGAAACGAGGCGCGGGGGGATTGGAAGGTACCCCAAAGCCTCCTATGATCGAAGAAACTGGGCCACTGAACGCAGAAACTGGGCCGCGATGGGGGCCGCGAGTGGCGACGGCGGGGCATCGAAATCGAAACGGATGCGTGCGGGGCCGCGAAGGGCGCGAGCGAGCGGGAGCCACGGAGGACAATTTATCCGGGGCCGCAGAGGGCAGCGACGGGGCCGCTAAGGGCAGGAAAGGGGCCACGAAGGGCAGAGAGGGGGCCGCGAATGGCGACCGCGGGGCCACGAAGGGCATGCATATGGGGCCACGACAGGCGCGAACGAGCGGGGGCCACGAAGGGCATTCGTACATGGGGCCACAAAGGGGGACAGCGGGGCCGCTCAGGGCAGCAAAGGGCCCACGAATTGTAAGTCCCCGGGGGGTCTGCATCGCTCCCGCGAGCAAGGGGGTGCTGCTGTCCGCGCGAGGCAGTTCGAAGGCAGATTTCAAATCAAATTGCGCGGCGCGCTTGCCTCGGCAAGCAATTTGCAGCGACGCCAGGAGCTGCTCTGACGGCGCATCCCGCGTCGCAATGCACTGGCCCCCGCGGCGACGCAATGAGAAGTTTTGTAGCGGGCGCTGATAGATAGGATGGGGATTCTGCGCCGCGCCCGCGCAGGAAATATACAGATCCGGGGCGGGGTCAACGAAATCGAAATAATGGGCGCTCGGCTGGCGAAGGAGAGCAGGCGAGGGTTCTGCGGGAAAGCCAATGGAAATGCGCAGATCATGCAAATGGCCCAGAGAACACATAACAATGCGATGAGAGGCCCTGGAAAGCAAAACTCATATGCTTCAAGGAAGCGAAAACGCACGCACCAGCGTCCAGAGCCGGGGCGCGGGAGGGGCGGGGTGCGAGTGGCGGCCCCCGGGCCCCTTGCCCCGCGCTCGCAATGCGGGCTCGCTGGCCGCCGCAATGGCACTGGGCCGCATGCGCAATGGATGAAGGACCTGGCGGGCCGCCGCGCGCGCTGCGGCACTGACCGACGCCGCGCGGGGGAGAGGGCCTATGCGCGAAGGGGCGGGGCGCCGCGCACGCGATGGCCTTGGCCGATTCGGCGCGTCGAACTAAAATGCGCGACGCGCCAAAGCAGCCGCGGGCTGGGAAGCCTCCGCCCGCCGCGCGCGAGGAATAACACATTTGCGCGGAGCGGAAGGGGGGGCTGCCCAATTCTGCGCGACAAGAAACAATGCGCGGCGGGCCGGGAACGCCGCGCGCGGGGCGGCTCTAGCGAATCGCGGAGGGAACGACGCCGCGCGCGAGGGGCCTGGGCCGCCGCCATGGCGGATCTTGTCCATGCCAGCAGGACGCGGCAACGCGCGCAGGGGGCCAGGGAAGCCGCTCGCGCGGCGCCCTGGCCAACTCCGGCCAAAGCAGACCAGATAGCGAAGGGGCGAGGCCGCAATCGTGCATTGCGGAGCAATGCGCGCCCCTCGTTGCACGCGCGCAACGCGTCAACCTGCGCCGAATAGCCTTCTTAATTCAGTAAACGTGAATTTCGAAAACCAAGAATTTCACTCGTATCCTGGGCCCATAGCGTGAGAAAAGGAAAGGGCGGCGCAATGGCCTGACCTCGCTGCTCGCGCGCGCAATGCAAAAACCTAGTGGGGCAACCGGTGCAATATAACCATCTTACGTTTGAGATTTGAACGATGGAAAACCAATCGTTTCACTCGCATTCTGGAGGCCGAAAACGTGGAAGCGCGCAAAGTGGCCCACTCTGCGTTCCTCTCTGCGCGCGCGCGTGCGCAATGCAAACGTCCCATGCGTAATAGCATTCTAGATTTGGAAAAAAAAAAAAAACTGACTGGTGAAAGCCAATTGTATCACTCGCGTTCTGGGGGGCTCAACGCGAAATGACGCCTTGCGTCGCGATGTGGTTTCCTGGTCGATCGCGCGCGCGCGAACAAGGCAAAAGTTCACGCCGAATAGCAACCTGAACTTCGACAGCTGAACGGTGGAAACCAATCGTGTCACTTGTATTCTGGAAGCCTCAATTTGGAATACTGCAATGCGGCGCAATGCGTGCCCCTCGTTGCCCGCGCGCGCGCGCGTGCGAGCAGCGCAAACGCGCGTGCATAATGGCTTATATATATATATATATATATATATA